GAAATTACTTGAGAAAATTATATAAGTGGATTGATAATTTAACAAAATTAACCTTATTGTTACTATGTCATATTTTTAATCTACTTTATTTAGAATTCGCTTCAATGTATGTTACTCGTATCGTATCTAAGTGTTTAATTCTATAAGACTCTTAATCATTTTTAGTTGTTTAAAATGTAAGCTTAATCTTAATTATTCTATCTGGGGAATATTATTTACAAGCCCCAGAAATGTTTTTACTTAGACTATTATATCAGTACGTTTCTGTGTTATTTTTGTTTATTAAATTCTAAACGTCCTATTATTTTATAATCGGACCTGCGTTAAACTAAATGACGTAATTAATATTTACAGCTACATTTTTCGAGACATTTCGCAATTCATTATATCAAATTTACACGATTTAACTTACACTATTTTAATTTATTAAAATAATTTCAAATGAAAATACTTAAATGAGAATAAAAAAGGCATAATAATTGTTACATAACGAACTTAATACCGTAAAATAATATTAAGATCCATTTTTGCCACTGACCTCTAAATTATAATGGACAGGCTGTGTATAAGTTGTGTTTTGTGCCCATTTGATTTTCGCCACTTTGGCGGTTTAGCGGTTTGTGTTTATAGACATTGAATTAATCTGTAACTTCAATTGGAACTTTAAAATTGGAACGTTATAAAAGGGATCATTTCTAAGCAGCGATCTTTCCAGCATACTTCTATTGAGGCCAGTAATTATTGGACATAAGTTAAATTCAAATATAAAATATATATAAATAAGTGTTCTTAATCATCACCATTATCATCATCATCACCTCCATCATCATCATCATCATCATGTCTACCTTTCCAGATTCATTACATCGGCCTCTTCTATTTACACCACTCATCATTATCAAAATAAAATTTATAAAATAAGTAAAAAAAATTGAATACCGTAATACGAAAAAATAATAAAAAAAATACTAAATGCAAAATAAGTAATAAACGAACTTTTTTTGTGTTTTCCCTTTTTATATATTTTTTTGTAATTTTTTTTCTCTTATTTTTATAATAGGAACTACTGTACATATATTATTTTTTACCCAGTTTTGGTTTAATTTGGTACGCCTATTTGTAGAACATATGACAAGTTGTCGATGATTTAACGGCAAGATGTATGGATGGGTGATAAAATTAAACTTCATAGAGTTAATTAGAAGAAGAAAGTTGGATACGGAACGGACGGAATATTCTTGAAGAATATTATTCAATCTGATACGACAAGAGAACAAAGACGAGAATTGATGTATCAAATCAACCCGACTAATTTAAGAAGGTGTTATCGCGCTATTTTTATGTATGTAAGATCCATTGTAACAGCCTGTAACAGCCAGTAATCAATGAAACATTTTTTTTAAACATATCGTTATCTCTCTCTCTCACTCTCTTTGACAGAACAGAGATAACAATATGTTTTAAACGAAGATTTTGGTTTCAGAAACCTACGATGAGTCAGTTGAGAAAAAAGTGAAACCAATTGAGGTCATTCGGACGGAAGATTTGTGATGAATTATGATAACCTTACAATTAGTCTATTTTTTTATATTAAGTACCTATAAATATATCCCATGTATACCCTCCTTAATTTTAATTATTTAAATATTATGCTAATTACTAAAAATAAATAAAATCAAGCGTGTTTGAAATTTATGAGTTCGATTTTTTTTTAATTAATTTTGTCTAAAGATCGATTTCATTGTTAAAGGATTTTAATAATTAATCTTGACTAAGGATTAGTTTCATTGTTAAAGGATTTATTTTAATTAATTTTGACTATGGATCGCTTCCATTTGATGGTAAAGGGTGATGTTATCAAAATCGCTAGTTTACATTGTTCGCATTTGTATTTTTAATAATGATTTTAGATTTGTTATTTTGTATTTTAAAAAGTATTTTGCAAATTAAAATAAAATTATCCTAACTTATCCTAGTTGCCGAGGTCTATTTTTCTATATAGGATACAATCCTCGGAACTCATTTCAATTATTCTAAAAACGTTGATTCCTCTTTGGTTCATTTATATCTTACAGTAATTAAGCTTATCCCATCAAAATCTAGATGTTTTATTGTATCGAAGTTAACAGAATTAAAAAATGGTGAATTTAATAGAACAATACAATTTTGGACAAACTTTTTTGAATTTTTACTTTCCTTGTACTAATTCAGAAAAAATAAAAAAAAATATTAATAAAAAAAATGTTAATGAAAAAATTTGTTACTATTGAATTTTTGTTATACTGAATCGTTAGTGGTCTTGTTCTTTTATTTAAATTATTAAAAAAAAAAACAATATCTGATCATACCTAAAGATTACTATAAAACTAAGATTTTTAACTTCAATTTCGAGCTGTTGTATTTTAAATTTCAATATAGTTCACTAAATTCTTTTGTATAAGAAATTTCATGGTTTTTGGAAAAAAAAATCTGATTTTTTGTGAATTAAAATCGAAATATTGCAGAGTAAATGCATTTGTAATTTAAATGTAATATTTTACGGATCAAAACATTATTATGTTCCAATTTGAAGTTAAAAACCTACACACGTACATTTTTGAGTAAACAGTTGGACTGCTCAATTAAAACGTACATGTGTAACCGGCTTTAGAATATTATGCTAGTTCCAAAATAAATTTTATATATACATTCCTTGGAATCTTTGACTAAACTATGTCTACATATGTACATGGCATATTTATCTAATACCTTATTTTTCATATAACTAAGTTATTCTGTTTTAAATATTAATTTTTGTGTCTTTAAAATTAGTATCATAATTTAAATATTTATATTTATGAGTTACTAGTATAAAAAATAGAATTTCTTGGAATGCATCGATTGTAAAAACAACATAAATATATAAGAAACGAAATTTCAGATTAAATAAAAGTAGTCTATTTGAAATAAATTGCACGAAACCATAAAATTATATTAAATTTATGTAATCAAATATATATAATTAAAAAAAAAAACTTCTTTTTGGGTTTTTACTTTTTTATAATTTTTTTTATATTTATTTTTGTTTTTTGCTTTTTTTTAAATTTTTTGTGTTTTTACTTTTTATATTTTTTTGTGTACTTTCTTTTGATTTCTTTTTTAATTTTTTTGTGTTTTTACTTTTTAGATTTTTTTGTTGCTTTTTGACTTATTCCTATATTTATTACTAAACATACTCTAAAAATTATACAATTTGTCATAGGCGGGTTTATAATTTGAAACAGACCGACAATCCTATAAGGGATATTTTCTGACAGATCGCGAAAGTAGCGCTTCACTCAACGGGCCAGATAACCTCATCGGACTATTGATTCCTATTAGTCAAACGTTGAAATTTTTGTTTTAGCTATAGAAGGTCTTAAGTTCTGATCTCGTCTGTTGAATATTGACTGATGGAAAAAAAATACTTATTTCTAGTTATAAAAACTATTAAACCTAGCTGACTACTGTACTATTTGTACCTAGAAGCTCACTACATATGTACAGAATCTTAATAAATAATTTATTATATATTTTTTCTTAATCCTGCTTACAACTTTAATCTTCGGCAATATTGTCTTACTGTCAATAATATTTTTTATATACTCTTTAAAATAACTTACTCTATCTCCGAGGTATTTTTATGTACACATCCTCTGGAACAATTCTTATAATTAAACTATAGGTTCTTGGTACATGTCAAATTTGAGTGATCATTTATTTACAGTTTTTAATATTAACCTATATACTAATTTTTTAGTGGACTCCGTCTTAAAATATGAAGAAATATGACTATTTATTTTTGTAACCAAACTGTATTTAATATGAAAAAAAAGGTTGACGAATTAAAATAAATAAGGGAAGAAAAACCGAAAAAATGGACTAATATAAAAATAATTAATAAACCTAATAAAACCCAGCAATTCCCAGATAAAAACGCACTATAAATGTTAAAATAACGTATAAAGAAATTCAATAATAAAGATATTGAAGTTATTCTAAACTATACTATCCGGGGCATATTATTGACAGACCACGGAATTTACTTGTTCTTAATTTACTGACCGTATTATGACTGTATATGACCTACTTATCCATTATGTTTATAGTTCAACCAACTTGTCTGCCTCGATTACAGAGGAGCTTCTATCGCGAACGCACAAAAAGTGACACTAGAAAACAGCTAAAGTTAAAGTTCTTGTAACACCCTTTATCGTTGGTTGGAGGGCGCTTGTTTGCTATCGTAATTTCGTGCATTCGCTCACACATTTAACGTCTAAAAAGGCACATAGTACGTCATGTGCGTGTCGTCTTGTGCGTCATTTTTATGCTTAGGTCTTAAACATTTACTAACAGAACTAACGGCGAAATTAGCTCCTCTCTCACCAAGCCAGATCACTTTATAACACTAAAGTAATGACGCTTACTGACTATTATATTAAGTGACAATTTTTTTCGATAAAAATGACAAAATAAAAAAATAAGATAGATTAAAAATTTAAGGGAACATAACGCAATGAATTACTTTTTGTGAATTTTGGTAACCGTATGGATAGACAGACGACATGCAGTGAAATTTAAGTAATTTGTTATTAGAATCATTAAAATCCCAGTTTTAAATATAATTTCATGGACATTATTAAATTTTGATAGAGAATTGTATTTAGAATATTTGCATCAACTTTTTATGAAACTGTGGCTCAAGGGTTAAAGTTTTTCAAATAAATATTAAACGAAAAGTAATAAAAAATATATATAAAAAATTAAATAGGATGAAAATGATGTTATATATTACGTATTATGTAATAAGTAATTATGCTACAAGACCGACACCGTTTTGGACATTAGAAGACTTTTAATTTATATATATTTCAATTGACAATTCTTTTTCATCAATATTTACAACATAGTATGTAACTATGATTTACTACTTTATACTTCTAGCTTTAATATTAAATGAAGAAGTTGCCAAGTTATCTTACCATCCATCAACTCATCCGCTCGATCACCATCAGGCCAATCTTTTATCATTCCTCCCATACAACCATTCATCCTTTTAACTATCTATCTATCCGTCCTCATCCGCCCGATTACTATCAGTCCGATCGTTTATTATCCGTCCATACAACCATTCACTCATTTAACTATCTATCTATCTATCTATCCACTCATCCATTTATCCATTCATCCAACCATCCATCCAAGTATTCGTCTGTCCCTCCATCTGTCTATCCACCTATGCATCCATATGCATCCATCTATCTAATCTTCCATACAATTTTCCGCATTCATACATTAAAGCTTTCGGATCAAGTAAACTTACCCTAATCAAACAGAATCCGATAAAATAAGAGTATTTAGAAATGCGGTGTTAAAGTTTATGAAAAAAAAAAATTATTTTGGATTTTTTGGTTTCAAAATACAGAAGTATTTGCATGTTTTTTTTTGTAAATATCAAATTTATTATTTTGGATTTCTTTTAAATTTTCCATGAATTGATTAGAGAACAGCTAAAATGCATTAATTGGAGGAGGTCTGCGTTAAACGTTGTCTTGTTGCTGATAGAACCAATCCTTAAGTTTTTTTACCGAAACGTTTGGATAAAACCTTTTGTAATCCCTTGCATTCTCTTTGAAAAAAAGAAAAGCAAAGATACAACTTTTTTCAAATGTTTCAGCAAAAAAAACTGATATCAAGATAGAAAAGTTGATGTAGATATCAAATTTAATATTTTTAATGCCGATATGTAGAAAATTATTTTAAATTGCATTGTTAAATTATGTCAAAGATAATCAAATAACGCTGTGCATTATGACGACATATTTATGTGAAATCGCCAACAAAAGAAAACGAAATTCGCGGCGCCAGATAAAAAATGTTAAAAAACTTGATGGCTCTTTAAAGGTTAAGAAACTTTTCATAGTTAAACGACTAAAGACTTGCAATATCAAGTATATTTTATATCATATGCAAAATAATTGTCTTATTAACGCATAGCAAAACCCGTAAAGAACGTACTAACGCAAACAGTGGCCGTTGAGAAAAAATAATCACACAAATATAAGAAATATCTGCTTTGCTTCCTTCCTAATTACCCGACAAATCGGAGTCTGGTTCCTAGCTTACCTTACAACTAAAGGTGAGTTTCTACTGTCATTCCTTTCATTCTCTTTATAAGAAAGAGAGATAACAATTTCTTAGGGTCCGGTTACATACCGGGACGGAGGGCAGATCAGATGTTCATCTCAAATGAAATTGAGCTTTATATCATTTAAATAATTATTACATTCTACGGTTTTTTATCAAGAACAAGCGTAATTACGCCCCGGTTTGTGTGAACCGACCCTTGTACAGATGTTACGACAGTTGTACACGTACACGCAAACATCAACATAGCTAATCTTATCTATTTAAATTAATTAATAATTTGAAATAATTCAAACATAATAAAAATAATATCTTCTGAAAAAAATATAAACAAGTAGCTATTGATACCTGACGTCTTCGGTTCTGGCTTTTTGATGTTGATGGGTGTACAGTTGAAGCAGGATCTTAAATAAATTATCAGGATAGCAGAGTTGATAGCTCCAATCACGATTGTACCTCCCCAAGTTGATATCTCCTTTATATTATTGAGTCCTAAAAATAAAAATAAATATTAATACTTGATACTATTAAAAAACAACTGAATGTTTAAATTCATTTGTTTCACGTTCTTTGTCGCATTGTTGAACGAGCATTTTCATCATGCTTAATATTAAAACCTCCCAGCGTTCAATGAAAATATTTGCCAATGGAACTACAAATATTCGATGCCGGCGGCTAATTTGCAGTTAAATTGAAATTTTGTTATTGTACCTATTGCGGTGGGATTTGTTTGCTAATAACGCGAATTATGTTACATTTTATTGTTAATTTTTACATTTAATTCTTTTAGTTTTACAAATTTTATTAAAAAATGTAGTAGCTTAATTTTTAAAATTGTTGTTTTAATAACGCTATATTTTTTCAGACAGCTGGGATTTTTTTTTTCAATAAAAATAAAAGTCTTTATAAATATCAATGTTTCGGTATTTTTAGCAAATAATAAATATCGACGGGCTTTTAGCGAAGGTTCAATGGATTTCTCGCCGTCCGCCCTTTTATTTATTTTGTACGATAATAAAATATGCTTTGTGGCAGGTCAAAACCTTTTGAAATTAACCGTATACGAGAAAAGGTTTACAATGTAAATTTATTTAACTTTATAATCACATTATCACTTATTATTTTATTTTATTCGTTAATATAATATAATTTATTTTTACAAAAAGAAATTGTTTTTTTATAAAAACGAAAATTAAAAATCCATAAATAATACTCAAAGACACTTTTTTCTTTGATGAATTACGATTGTACATTTTAACACGACAAAAAATAAAATAAAACAAAGGTAAAATCACAAAACTAAAAAAAAAATTAAAGTACAGAAAGATATTAAACATTTACTTACATGTTCAGGTGTCTGGATTCATTTCTCTCATCTAAACAGCTTGGCTTGTATAAATTCTGAACAGCAATGAGGTATACTTTCAAATTAAACCTTAAAACTTAGGCCATAAAATTTAAATCAACTTGGCAACTGATGAGGAAAAAAATTAATAAAAACTGAAAAGACAGCGTTCTTGCTTGACTTGTTACATGTTGATGTGAGAGCTATTCCCAAATGATGTGGGCTTCAGGTCCGATCGAGCTTTTAAACTCTCCAGAGCCGCCATGCAACAGTTGTTCAGCCAATGAACGCAGAGTGCGCGCGCTGCAGTCTGGAAACACCGTCCCTCACCCGTTACATTTCCACACATTCAAGAGAAATTGTTCACAGATACTGTCGTGTACGCACACATACACACTACAGAGCCTTGGGAAATTAACGTATTATTTTTTAACTATCGACCTTCTCGATTTCCAATGCCTTCTAGAAATTTCTATGATTTTATGTTAGGGTTTTTATATAATCTAACTCTTACTAATATCATAAATGTGAATGTTTAGATGGATGGAAGGATAGATGGATGGATGGATGTATGGATGGATTGGATGTTTTAAGGTATGTCCAAAACGCATGCATTGATCTTTCTGAAACTTGGCATAGATATAGAGCATAGTCTGAAAAACCCATACGCTACTTGTGATTTTTTTTTAATTCCGCGCGGACGGAGTTAAAAAGCAAAAAAATCTATTTGCATATCCTAAGAACAAAAACACTAATAAGAAATATTACATTATATTATTTGCCTGTCAGATATGTTTCGTAGTCTACTTACTTCATTAATTTCAGATAGTTAACCGGAAGTCGGTAGGCAAACAGCGGATGTGTTCCCGTCAAAGCCTCGCGCTCGTGGCCAATTAACTTAACGCGAACGTTCCGCCGGATGTCAAGTTTCTACATCTTGTTGGAGTGTAGCGGATCAATAAAATAACTCCCAGTTTGGATGTTTTTTTTCATGAAACTGTTAGTATTCGATATAAGATTAACTGCTCCTTTTATTAATTGAAATAAACAAAAAGATTACCTATTTTTTGTATGATAATCCTAGCTGTCACTCGCGACTACAGCCTCACGGAATTAAAAAAAAAACTTAACTTGTAGTCTATGTGTTCTTCCAGACTATGTATTACATCTGCGCCAAATTTCATCAAGATTCATTGAGCCGTTTCGGAAATACCTTGTAACAAACATCCATCCTTCTAAACTTTCGCATTTATAATATTAAGTAAAAAGGTAAAAGTAAGATATAATAAATGTAAAAGTTTGGATGTATGGATGGTTGATTGATGATGATGATTGACTATTGTAATATAAAATATTTTTAAGGCTTAAATTGTTAAACTACACTAAGGGGCTCGGAGCCTACACTAAGTTAGGGGTTACTAAATCAACCACGCTGGCCAGTGCGAGTTGGTTGGCTTCACACATATCCTTAAAATTTCTTTTACAGGTATTAAAGGTTGCACCAGGATGTTTTCCTTCGCCGTAAGATTGTCGGATAAATGTCAATCAAAAATCGAAAAACACATTGGTACATGGCAGGATTCGAATCTATGTATCAGGGATTAATTACTTGACAATTAATCCCTGAGCCATCGATGCTCTTTATAAGCGATGAGTTCATAATCAGTGCTACGTATAACCGTAGCGGTGCTACGGCTCACCTCACAAGGTGCGTAGGTGGCGAGACAGAGTCGCGTCTTTGTGGCGCCAACGTCTTTTCAACTGGAAATAATTTTCTATTCTCTGGCTAGGGTCTATACAAATTGTTTGTTATTTTTGATATTTTCATACCTGTGCTAATAATTTCAAGTTAATCTAAACTTAACGTTAAGAATTGATCGATTGTCTTGCATCGTAAAGAATTATCTGTAAAGTGGAAGATTAAATATTATCAAAAAAGATTTTTACAATATCTATAAATCTTATTAAACTAGACTTAGCTTCACGAACAGAAGTGAAATTGAATGGTTTTAACAAAAAAAAAACAAATTGGTTTTTAATTGAGTCGCGGGCATTGGAATCACCATAATACTGAAATGAACTGACAATGCTAATTTTGCACATGGCAATACACACTTAAAAGATCAGATATGGGCACGGGCGTCCCTTTGCAGCTTTGCGTTGGTATATGACACGGTATTATAGCCACCGCATCGAACACCTTATCGCAGCAAAACCATGTCGTAGACATGCCAATTACAGACTTTACTAAGTATAGACCGACAAACTTAACTAAGTCAATGAACATTAATGATATTAAATTAGCTAGATAACAATAGTTCATTAATACCATGTCAAAAAATCCTTTTCGGGCTTGTTATATCTTATGTCATTTTCTATAGCTATTAAATATTATTCTGACAAAAGTAATGACGATATCAGCGCCTCTCACACAGGTTCAGATTAGTCGGTTTATAAAAAGACTACCTATCGCCTGCGAACTTGTCTGGGCGGAAATAAAAACAAAATGATTAGTAGCCTATGTATTCTTAGAGATTCTGTTCTACATCTATGCCAAATT